GCGTTATATGTTAGGGTGGCCTGGAGCGGAAATCTGTCGATTGTCAATCAGTATTTTAAAGTATTATGCAAGTGATTTTATTCTTAACCCCAAAACGTAAATGAATATGATGCCAATAAACTGTTTGTTTTTCAATCTATTTTTGGAAACGTCACTCATCGAACATGTGCTTTGAAGACATTAAAATTAAAAGAGAAATCACCGTCAAGGGCCTACTTGAGCGGCACACATTTTCTGACTGAAAAAAATGAAAAATATATAAAAACACAAATTATTTTCCACATAGTAAATTAAATTTTCATGTTTCTTCCTTCATTCAGTGATGCTTTAAGTTGTTTACTTTAGTTTCCTATTAAAAAAACAAAAGCAACTAAATACTTTTTGTCGGTCACTTTTCACTTGACAAATATTTTTTTTTTAGCATTATGTACAAAGAAACAATTTCAAAATAAATTTTTGTTGGAAAATTGTCTTTTTAAATATATTGTGGCAAAAACTAAAAACATCTGGTTAGAGAATTTTATATTTGCACTTTAAAGTATTAAGTAATAGTTCATGAGACATTTAGAAGCATCGTAATCACATTGTAAGAGTATATTGCCAAGGCGAAGAACTACATACACTACATATATATATGCATGCATGCATATAAAGCGAGACGTCTTCATAGTCAACACAGCCTGCTTGCTTTTGTTTTTCAAAGCAGTTGCTTGGTATATATTTGCTTTGGCATAATATTTTTAGAAAAACGAAACGAAAAACAACAAACAAAGTTGTTATTCGCCTTGGGGCGGAGCCTTAATAAAGACCACCTCAAATCAATGCGTAGGAATTGTACAGTATTTCTTAATTGTCAATGTGAGTTATTAATTAGAAATTTTTTTTTTGCATTTTACTTTTAGCTAACTCTTCCCAAATTTTTCTACCAAATTTTATATAATCATGTCTTCGCAAAAAATTTTACTTGAAGATTTTTGGCGCGTTTTTCATCGAACCACGTTCGATTTCGTATTCGGAATTTTGAAAAATTTACTTCAAATTTTAAATTGCTTATAAATTACAGATTACAGTTCTTTACCTAATGCGAACGTTATTGCGACGGGGTTACGCCCATTTGCAAAGATAATTTGCTTACAATATATGGAATTCAATTTCTATTTTAATTTTTGTAACCGTGAGAGTGCGAATAACAGATAAAGGGATCGCCGGTGGAAGTTAGATCGAGTCAACCCATAGACTGAAAAAAATGTGTATAAACGAGAAATGCATGAAAATGCCTGATCTAAGCAATAAAATAAAATATATTTTTTCAAAAACGACTTTTTTCCTCAACATGAGCTCTTTGCCAAAAATTGTACAATTAGTCCAAGACATTTTTATAGTACGATTTGTCAAGACTCTCAATGACGTCATCGTTTAATCTAGTTCCTTTTCCGTAGACACTCCTTTTAAAATTTGCCAAGAAATTATATTCTCTATGGAATATGACGGATGACGTAACAAATAGTATTTTCATTCAATCAAACAATTTCGCGGTTGTAGCCTTCGATTTATGACTCGTTGTTCGCGTTCCAATAAGGACAAACGAGGCATCCAACGCGTGGTCAGCTTTCTCAAGTTTAAATCTTGTAATATAATGTAAAATACCAAGCAATCCGTACCGCAACCTAAACGTATCCATTGTACTACCTCGTGCCCCGCGCTTCTAGCTTTAGAATCCTCATGAATTCCGTCAATTTGTTTTGTTCGGAACGTCAAACGATATTTCCCGTTATAAAGCGTTCGCCAAACATTTGCTATCTGATTCGAGAGATGGCCGTACATTCGCACATTCTATTGGCTTCGTCGCAGAATCTGCATGAATTGATATCTGAGATACCAATATTTTTCAGGTGATACCTGAGGAAGTTATAATTCGTGTAGAAGCCAATTAAGAAACTTAGGTCGCTTTTTCGTAATGCTAGTAGCTTGCGTGCTACGACGTGGGATTTGATTAATCTTTTAGCTTGCCGTTTCCCCGTTCATTGCCAAACAAATTGGTACGCAACTACGGCTCAAGTCAGCTACCAAAAATTTCACCTTTAGTAATGGTTCAAAATCCCCATACACACCGTCCAGCTCATCCTTGAGTTGTCCTTTATCCCAATTGATCAAGTAACACTAGTAATGTAACTCTTTCCAATTTCTGTACACTTGAGGTGCGCAACGTCCGCCATAAGGCAGCCTTTTCTAATTCTTCTCTTTTGTTTGTAGTACAATTTTTATTATTAGGATTATAAATTTGCTCGGTCGGCATTTATTTCGGAACAGAACATAATGTTCAAAGCATTGTCTATCATTGATTATCATTTTTCTCACCTCTCTTAGACAATTTTCGAATTCCATCTCGAAGAAGTAGAATGTATTTTGAGTCTTTACCCAAAAAAATCCGTACTTGTCTCGTCATTTGTTGAAAGCCGACGAGAGGCTAGGACATTCCAAGTTACAGCTGCAAACATTTTTGAGCGATTAATGCTATATGCGACCAAATTAATTCATACTGAAAACTGACAATATCATGATTTTTGGCAAATCAAGCTCCTTTTTTGCCTCAATTGCATCAATTATATTTGATACTGTTCCTTCCTAACCAGTTCATTTGGTTGGATCAAGCCGAGCGCAGCTGACCCACCCAAAATCAGTATACCATGGCTATTCAGTTTCATTGTCGATGTTTTTATTTGAACTTTGGAGATCATAGCGCTATCAATGTTGATTACCTACAAGGATTTATACACTGCAGTATACTCGGAATTGATCAGAAAAAGGAAAGCAGCTGCAAACTGCACCGATTCAAAGCTTCAAGAAAAAAGTATGTTGTATACGCCCGAACGTGATAATTTCTACACGCTACGGTATTACTCACACTCTCACTCTTAGAAAACGTGAAGTGAGCTAACTTGTGCATTTCATTTCACATTACATAGAAAACATTATAGATAGAAACGTAAAGATTTTTGCTGTAGCTTAGTGAAGTGAACGATTACTTTTTAGTTCCGTATTTCAACTCATTTCTACTTTTACTTCTATATTAATGAACAAGATGAATTTTGTATAACAAAAAAAAAAATTTTTTTTTTTAAACATTGTAAAATAACGTTCGTAAACCGCTGTCTGAAGGCTAATCAACATTTATATTCGTCTTGAATATATGATCTAGGCAAACGTATAATATGTAAAAAATTCTCGATTTTACCTCAGCCCGTTTTGTTTGTTATATCTGCGTACTCTATTTTTAAATAAAAAACAATGACAACCACTATGATATGTATATATTAACTTGTAAAGTAATCAAAGCACTAATTTATACATATTTAGTTTGTTAATTAGCCATTTAAATAATTAAATAAAACAGAAACCAAAACAATATTTATATAAATTGAATAAAATCAATTAAAATATTGAATATGTCTACATATATGTGCACATATGGTTCTATATCAATATTTTTGTTGGTCTATAGATAAATACACATATTCAGCTAAGTACACAGAAATAGTTACCAACTAATAAACAAGCTTGTTAATTATGAGAGAATATGATCAAATCTCCATCAAATTTACATAAATTATTTTATAAAATATACACGCACACAGACATCGTATACGTTTAAGTTTAAATCAAACACAAATATAAATAAAGTACACGTAAATAGATAAACAACGACGAGTTGAAGTAATATCCAAGTTAGATACGTATATAAATATTAAATTAAATAAATTTTAATTTCAATTCAACTAATTTTATGCACTCTAATAAACCACTACTGTATCCTCTCTTATATCGTATGCGATATTCAAATTGTTATTTCAATTTTCTTATGCTTTTACAATAGTCATAGTTAGTCATAGTGCATGATTTTTGGCTTATATATATTTGTTAAGAATGCGTAAACAAATTTACATAAATTCACAATTATTAACAGAAATGATATTCATTAAGACTTAAATACGAGAATGAAAAAAACACTTCGCTTACATGCGGTATGTGAAATGAATAATTGAATTTAAGCGATTTTTCAAATACATATACGCACATATATTTGATATTGATACTTGCAAATTTATTTCAATCATTCTGCAGATATGCAAAGCGGACTTACAGCGCAGTTAACTTAACATAATTAATGCGCATCCTTGATAGATACATGCATAAATTTATGAAAACTCAATACAAGTATCTTGTGTAAAAAATGAAACATAATTTGAAAATCATTCCAATAATCTCTTACATATATACGTATATACAATAAAAAAAGATGGTAGTAAAAACAACTTCCTCAGTTTTCAACACTTTTCTTTTCTATAATCGAAATAATACCGAAAAGATAATTGATAGAGCGCAGTTACGCGAACTGCGCAGTTACAAAAAAAAAAAAAAAAAAAAAAAAAAAAATACGCTGCGTTTATTAAGTGCAATGCTCTACAAAACATAGGCCAGTTAAATGAAAATTATTGCAAAATGTTTACTTTTGCTTAATACTACAAACGTTATTCGTTACTTTTATGGTTTCCCGCGCATGCTATATACAGTTTTTTACATACTTTTTTTGTTTTTTAATTTTATATTTTGCATAAAAAAGTATAGCAAAACCCTATTTCATACAGTTTATTGCACTTGCATTGATGTTAATTATATGTTTGTCTGCATTAACATGAGAACAGTATGCACATTGAATTAGTGGTTTTCTTTTTCTCCTCGCAATGAATGTCCTTTGCTCCGCATTGTTAGATTACTTAGATATCATCCAATAATTCTATGAATATATATATATATATATAAACATATTGCTTGTATTTATTTTCCTTTTTCTGTGTCTTACTTATATGTTATCCGCACATTCTCATATAGAATTCTGAAAATACTCTTATCATAAAACTCTCTATAAAAGCTAACAAATCAAGAAACGTAAACGTAAATCAACCATCAATTCTTTCTTTTTTTTTTCTCTTACGTTACAGATGTGCATCACACCACCTAATATCAATAGTTATATCCCAGAAGCGTTCAGTTTTCTGGTGAGTGCGTAAATAAAAAGAAAAAATAAAATAAAAAATGAAAAAAAGAAAAAAAAAAACATCATACCAAATAGAGTCATTATTATGAAATATCTTGTGAAGTGCAACTTTGTAAATTACAATTTTTTGTGAAATTTCCTTTCCTCTGCTTCCTTTCAAACTTCGATTTTTTGCTCTTTTTTCTCCTGTTTTCCTGATGCGTCATTAACAAAACACTACTCATTTCAAGACATTAGTCATTTGCTCTTATCACTTTAGCAATGTTAAACTTAATCGAGCGCATATGTATGTGCAATTATTAATAATATACACAACGACCAACCATCGACGTTAGTCATTTTCTTTTATCTACATCATCTTCATTTTCATGTCCATCTTGAAATCCATTTGTTTTCGATTATAATCAATAATTTGTTTTCTGTTTCTTTTCTTTTTAATGCTTTCCTTTTTTGGGCTTTTTCCCTATGGATAGAACTTTTTCCAAAAATCTTCTGCATAGAATATTCTTTTGTAAATATATAAAATAAATTTATTTCGTATCTTTAAATATATGCAGGTTTTTTAACATTGAATTTTGTAAGAAGCATTAGAGAATGAGATGAAATTAGTTTCATGCAATGCCATTACAGAATAATTATTTGCCTTGATTGTGAAACTGTGAACGTTTGAAAAAATTATACGCATCGTACGTGAAAATAGGGCGCCAGGGCAAGTCTTCTCTTCCTATAAATTATATTTTCTTGTTTATTTTTAATAGGAAAAAAGCCAGAATGAAATCAACCGGTATGTTTTACTTTACACGCCATCACTTATCTCTAGTATATATGTATATTGTTTTCTTATTTTGAAATTGCTAATTAGCTTCTTCTCACAACAAACAATTCTTTGAATATTCCCAAATTTCGTACTCAAATTTAATTAAAATGAAATTGAAAGCTATCTTCATCCTATAACCGTAGATTCATAGTAACAATTTTTTCTCGTCTAAAAATTAACTACTAAATAAATGAATTCGAGGACAGACAGGCTTCATAACAAAGGAAAAAAATTATATTATTATTATTATTATAAATTTCGCTAAAAAAAAAATTTTTTTTCTAACACTAAAATCTTAAAGCACCAGCATTTAAGGCTGTCGGCTACTTATGGAAACTCTACCGCATTTGAGATTTGAACCCACGACCATTGAGTTGTTAGTCCAGACTCTTTGTCTTCGGCCACTCAAGCAGATAAAAACAAAAAATAATAAACTTACAACTTATTATAAAATATATATTTGAATCGAAGAAGTATTTCAAATATTCTCCAAGCTACTTTATAAAGTTTGTTGTAAAAACATTCTTAATCGGCCAACCGATTCGGCCCCAATTAAGAAAATGCAGGTCGCACGGAAAGTGGATTAGCAACACCTTCAACATTTTATTTTCATTATGGCATATTGTTCAGATGCGAATGTTCGGAAGATGGGCTGACAAGCCAGAATATGAAATTAGTTCTGAAAATTTGGATTCTGAAAATCGTTGATTAGTAACAACACTGCAGACCTTTATTTTGAATATAATTTCCAATATGGAAATAGCGTCGAAATTGCAGAGAAAAATAGAAAATTTGCACACTGATTTTTGACTCTCAATTTTAAAGGTGAAATGAAAAAGCGTTCCACCTTTTACGCGTCAAATATGGTTATTTTTTAATTGTTTTTTTTTTTTTTTTTTACTTTTCATTTAAGCTTTGTAGCGTTTTCCGGATTGCGCTGCATCCTCGATTCGTTCATGTTGGAAGTATATGTTTCCAATTTATATAAGTTCTTCTATCAATTACAATTTTAGCTATTGAAGAATGATGTGTGTTTATATCTATTACAATCTCGATATAGGGCGACTATTTCAAATATCTTAGATTAAAAATTAAAGTTTATAAAATATTATTATTTTAAATACTATCATGTGTAAATTATATATGTTTCTTTACGTTTTCACGTAAAAACGATATATAAATGTGGATATTGATGCAATGAGCTTGGATTTTATGCACCATGAACTTGAATTTCTTTTAAAAGCAAAAACCGTCGTTTTTAATTCATAGTTTGTATTCTTATGTTCTAAAATGAAAAATACTAGGATGCTTTTAGCTCAAATGAAAAATTTCAGATTTAGATATGCATTTGGTTTAGACACAAAAAGATCTTGAGAATTAAACCAAACATATCACCACATCTTTATTAGTGACTTATTTAATTTGCAATTTAGTCCAAATATTTTATATTGTGTTTTAGGAAACGGATTGAAATGTACGCGACACGGTAGCCAACGAGCAGAAAAACAACTATCTGATCGATTATATTATAAAGTTTTCTTTTACTTATAGTTTAGCGAACACGATCTGTCATCAATCCAATCGTACGAAAGAAGCGACTGAAAATGGATAATCTAGCTCTCTAGGAATGAATGAACTTGGAAAATTTATACTTAAATGGGTTTTAGCTGCGTTAATCTGTATCGAAATTGCGAATAATCATGTTTTGAAACGAATTACCCACCTATGATTGCATAGCAGCATCTATTAGAGCGATATCATCAAACCGGTCATTTTGTTAGCATTAATTATAAGCAATCTGTTAACATTCAGTAAATGAACAAAATCAGAAACGTTGTGAAAGCTCGTGCAAGGCAATTAATTTAATGGTAACACTATGTAAAATTTCTGAAAGAATGTATCTGTCAATTACAAGATCGCTAATTCGGTCAGAAATTCACATGATACCAAGAAATAATTCCATCGTATGGTTTCGTATATCAGAGAAATTTTAGAAAGCCAGATTTATTCTGTCGGTATTTTTCTTTGCTGTGGAAAAAGTCGATGAAATCAGACACCAAAAGCTTAGAAATTCCTTTTAACACCAATGCATTTGCTATTCAAATCCTATTTCCAAAACCGATAATCCTACGTTAAGGTTAAAATTTGATCATAAGAAAACAGTTTATATAATGTGCAATTCCGGCCTTCCGAACGCTGGAAATATTTCAGCTGCACCATAATATATTTTTTATATATATATATATATTTTTTTTTTTTGTGTGTAAACAGTCACCATGGGCATATGCTGTATACAGGTGGGCTTGGTGGTGGTCAGAAAGATAACCAGTAGAAAATCAGGAAAGAAGTGAGTACGCTCTGTACGCTCGACTTGAAAGTGGAGCCATTTGGAATACTGGCAATAATCACGGCGGATAGTTTGTTTCAAATGTGCGATTAAAGGCAGACGAGTCGCGGTGGACTGTTGAACCCCAGGACCAGCGGGTGAGAAGCGCGAGATTGTCTAGTAGTCCTATTAAAGAATTTGAGAATGGTAGACGTATCTCTTTTATTTCTGTGAACAAATTGCTCTCTGCCTATTCTTTGCACGCGTGTAGCGCTCACATTTCGTTTATAGTACTTCATTTATTTTGAATAGTGATAACGTCCCTAATAACTATTGTTCTAAACTTCTTGTTTCACATATTGACGAAAGACTGAAAGGATTATTTAACGATTAAACGCCACGGTTTAGAGACAAAGAGGCGCTATTGGCTAATGTTTCAGAATTGCAGCGTAATCTAAAGAATGAGTGAATTTTAAATAAAATTAATCTTCAACGCATTTGGAGTTATGTAAAGTACAATCAAGGAGCCCGCGCTTCTTTATTTCGAGACTAAAGAAACCATTTAATCAATAGATTGCCTTTAAAAATAAGTTTTTTGATCAATATGTGATAGAAATTTTGGTTTAGCGAAGTCCAACGAACCGTTTTCGGTCACGATAATGCGTCAAGTCAATGTATACCACGTATATTCTTGCAATGTATCCACTGTAAGAATTGTTGAAGCAGATACAATACTTACTAGGCTTCCTTGCTTTTTAGTATTAAAAAAGTTTCCTACATTCTCGGTACATTCGACATCGACTTGCGTTCTGAGTAGAGCGTGTTTTGTTTTTCGTCTGCGATTTTTTAATTGTTTTCGGTGTTTTTGTGTGTTTAACTCGTGTGTTCTCTGTGCCTTTGCAAAAACTTATTATCGCAGATACGATATTTGCTTTCGTTTTTCTGTAAATATAAGAAAAAAATCAAAAAACAAAAAACATAAAAGAAAAATAAAATATTGAAAACAATTGTCGTTATCCTCAGCAGTTCCCCAACCATTTCAACTCAGTGGTTATTTCCCAATTTATTAAATAAGAGACAACCATAAGGCATAATGGTCCCGGGGCCGTCTGATATAAACTCAAATACATTTCATCTATTAGCAGACGTATCCCCTCAAAGAAAAAAAATTAAAAATTCCGAATTTCCGGTGTTGCTAACCAGTAGCATCGTTCCTATCGACAAAAAATATGTTGCGATTTCTCCAACTGATCCCTCCATAACAATTTCGCAATTCAGCCCTTTCGCTATTAAAAAACCACTAGATTGAATTACAACGCATATAGACTCTACATCGATTTTACGCGATGGAAATTTACTTGTCCTCGCTAAGAAGCCGAGCGCAACCGAAAAGCTCATAAAGTCTAAATCATTAGCTAATTTATGTGCAATATCCGCTAAACTGCATCACAAACTCAACTCGGTTAAAGGCGTAGTTTATGTCCCATGCTTAAAGCATGTGCCTGAAGATGAAATTGTTCGCGAAATTCACCATATTAAATGAGGATGGAAAAACCCGCTCCACTACACGAAGGATTATTTTGAGTTTTGACCGCTATCGGCTACCGCAAACGGTTGATGTAGGTTGGTACAAATGTAAAGTGGAACTCTACATTCCAAATCTCATGAGGTGTAAAAACTGCCAACGCCTGGGTCATACGGCAAAAAGATGCAGCAGTGCTCCATCCTGTGCTAACTGTGGTCTTGCTCCACATGCTAAAAACTGTACGCGTAGCTTCTGCTTAAATTGCAACGATCAACAAATGCGTGAAATTCTTAAAATGAAAACAGAAAATTACTGTAGCATGAGTGCAGCGCG